AGAGCCCTAAGCTGTCCCAATTAGGCACACAAAGGGGTGGGGTTGGGGGCGGGACTAAAGGGATTCTCTGCTAAATACAATTGCTTATTTACGTGACGTCAAGACCTTTCAGTATTTTGGGGCGCATGACTTAGCCGTTCAGGAACGTGTTCAACTAGATAGTTTTCGGGATAAAAGATTCGCTTCTTATCAAATGTCATGAAAATGGACGACTTCACTGTTCCTCCGAATTAAACATTTCAACCGGAAACGACGAATGGTCAATTCTTGATATGCGTAGTGTTTCCATCACAAGCAAAAAAACAAAAACAAAAAATGGGCGTTTACATTTTTCCATGGTGGGAACTGGTGTAAATACGTCACTGAGTGTTAGTGATATATCCCGTGAGCGCGGCGTAATTAGGTATAGTTCGAGAATGCTTAACTGTTATTTTGTTTTTGTTATTCTTATTTATTGAGTGAAGGAGAAGCGAAGGCAAGGAGTGTGTTTTGACCGTCGTTGTACTGGACGGAGAGGACATGCCCTTGACTCAAATCCGAAGGATAAATCCGCCACTTATACACACCACCCGCATTCTAAGAGAGAATGCGGGGTAGAGCATAGAGTTTCCTAAAGTTAACTAGAAGGGACACTGGTGCTGCGGTGGTTTGGCGATCATTGGAATTATGGGTATGGCAGGGATTTGCCTAGCCTTCATACTTGCGGGTGGTGAACACACTTGTGGTTTCGTTTATTACTGCGTTTTGGTTTTGATTCGAAGGAAAAAAAAAACAAACCATTTTTCAATACGTGACCTGATTTCTAGACGTAAGCCTAAGTGATTAATTTAGTGAAGTGTAACTACTCAACTTTTGTATCAGGTTGTTTCGTAACACAGCAGCTTCATGTCACGCCAAGCCATAACGAACGTAAACTACGAAGACTATGCAAATCTATGTCATACCCGTCATTCCCATGCTCGCTGAAGCGCTATGCGTTTCAGCTTCCTTAGACACTAGCGCCAGAGTTCCCTCTAGTGTATATTTAGGAAACTCCATTGGGTCCAGGTCCGCAAAGACTCCCTTGACTGAATTTCGAACGCGTGCTCCACCACCAGCCGCGTTCAAGGAAGTTGATCCGAGGCACGAGGCAAGAAATGAGCCGAGCACGCGCAGTGGAAGGTAGACGACGCCAACGCCGAAGCACCACATTGTGTGTCTAAGAAATGTTCCGTATTTAGAAGTGCTCAGGGTTAGAACGGAAATCGAAAATAATTGCTTTGTTGCGCGCTGAATTACATGTGCGCTACACTACTGGAGGCACACGTGTATTAAATGGGAAGCATTTCTTTGCGTACTGCAAGCACTTTCGAAATCTATCTATCTATCTATCTATCTATCTATCTATCTATCTATCTATCTATCTATCTATCTATCTATCTATCTATCTATCTATCTATCTATCTATCTATCTATCTATCTGTCTATCTGTCTATCTATCTATCTATCTATCTATCTATCTATCTATCTATCTATCTATCTATCTATCTATCTATCTATCTATCTATCTATCTATCTATCTATCTATCTATCTATCTATCTATCTATCTATCTATCTGTCTGTCTGTCTGTCTGTCTGTCTGTCTGTCTGTCTGTCTGTCTGTCTGTCTGTCTGTCTGTCTGTCTGTCTAATAGCCCCCTTAACTTGGGGTGATCTGAAATTAGTATAGGGAGGGCAAGATCGTTTAAAATACCGATCATTGGTCATTATACGAATAATGTGAGTGAGTGAGTGATTTTAAATGAAAAAAAAAAGAAAAGTGAGCCCCGTGACTGTCTCTCAGGGAAAGGACACCTCAACAGTAGCTCACAAGGGATGGGGGTAAAGGAGGGATTAAAAGGATAAGAGATTGAGAGGAAGGAGAGAGTGAGGCGCAGGGACAGCGAATGACAGAAAACAACGGAAGTAAAGAGGAGATAGGAAAGATGGACACGGTCACAACAAATAATGTCCAAATCCCGTAGGGTACGTCTTGGAACATTTCGCGCCAAACAGTCACACATACCCGCGGGCTGATATGTTGCCACTGGTATGCGGGTATGTGCCACAGGAGACTGACAGAATCAAGGCTTGAAGGGCGAGAACACACATCGGCGGTTATAATGCATGAGCGTTAAGAAAGGCGAAAAAATCAGCAGCTTAGACCAGACGAATGCATAGACTAAATGTCAGGGTCTCATCAGAATTGGAATCCCAGCATTCTTCGTGGCAATCAAGCATTCCACCACAGAGCCACGCCAGGTCTCGCAACTACTTTTCAAATAGACATTAATCTTTGTGAAACGTCAATGTTGGTTGCAATGGTGGCTATCAAATTTTATTAACCTTACATACGAACTCCTATGACGCAGCCATCATGTTGTGTTAACGTCAATTGTAGTTAGGTGCCATGCGCTGAAGTTAATTTATGCAGCGGTGTCCAAGGCTGCCATCCTCGTATGCACCAGCACTTCATATCAACTCATCGCTTCTGATGTTGCTAAAACTCTTGGGACCATCGCGCAAGTGCAAACAACTGACCATATAAACATTTGTGACTGTTCAGCATATCTATGTGCGTGCAACGTTTGTGCATATATTCAGCGTCATTTTTTCACGTGTCGCTCAATACAATAAGGTTACTTTTTCTCCACATGCTCGCCCCGCCGCGGTGGTCTAGTGGCTAAGGTACTCGGCTGCTCACCCGCACATCGCGGGATCAAATCCCGGCTGCGGCGGCTGCATTTGCGATGAAGGCGGAAATGTTGTAGGCCCGTGTGCTCAGATTTGGGTGCACGTTAAAGAACCCCAGGTGGTGAAAATTTCCGGAGCCCTGTACTAACGGCGTGTCTCATAATTATATGTTGGTTTTGCGACGTTAAACCCCACATATCAATCAATCAATCAATCATTTTCCCGCATGGTTACATTACGTCCATTCCCAAGGTACATGTGATCGACCGATTTGTTTTTTATTTTTAGGTTGTAGCTGACAATAGCTCCTAAAGTGCATAATGTGTGCGTTGAACTCGTCGTCTAGTGCATATGGTTAATGTTTCAAGGTATATTATATTGCTCCGTCACAATCCGGCTTTATATTAAGCTATTGTTAAACCTGTTTTACGTGTCCAGTGGCTAAGGTACTCGCCTGCGGACCCGCAGGTCGCGGGATCGAATCCCGGCGGCGGCAGCTGCCTTTCCGACGGAGGCCAAAATGCTGTATAGGCCCGTGTGCTCAGATTTGGGTGCACGTTAAAGAACACCAGGTGGTGAAAATTTCCGGAGCCCAACACTACGGCGTCTCTCATAATCATATGGTGGTTTTGTGACGTTATTCTCCACATATCAATCAATTAGTAAATTGATCAATCAATTGGTAAATGAATCAATTAATCATTGCATCAATAAAACCTGTTTTACGTGACTCGCATTCATTTGTCTCCTCGCGACGGACATGCATGTGGACGGACAAGCCTCGACCCTAAATGCCTTGCCCCTACTATTACACTGGAATGCGTCAAACGCAAATGCCGATGAATACTGGCGCAGATGTCACGCGTGCTTCTCCGTAATCCTTTAATAATTCGTGGTAGCGTTTCATAATTTCTTCATCCTTAAAAACTGTCACAATCGTCAATTTTACCAAAGCGAAGAATAAACTATCTAAAGTAGTTGATTGGACACACTGGTATAATATATAGGAGGGAAACAGCTCGAAAGACAGAAGACCAGGAGCAGAGGGATACACATATACAACGAGCATTTTATCTTTAGCGCTGTTTTCCTCACTTATAAAGAATAGGCCAGGTTTTTCATTATTTTACTCGCACGCAGGTTTCCTTCAGTGCCCGAAAACTGTCTAAAAATTCACTTCTCTGCTACAACAACAACTACAAAATTACTGTTTCGTCACAAGCGCAGTAAATGTGATATTGAATTGGCATGCTACTGCCAAGTAAGGCTAGCAGCAAACTCTTTTGGATACTATCTCCCGTATCTTTTACAAAACGCGGGTTAAAACGAATGCGGCCGCACCGGGGAACCAAGCGACAATCCCGCTGTCCGTCGTATCAAAACAAAATAATTGATGAGAGCACACAGCGTATACAGCCACCTAGTTATGACTGTTGATGTCTATAATGTTAAGAGCTGGGTTAGTCGATGGCGCATCATTATACAGCATGGGGAAGTGAAGCACTACAGACGGGGATGGAGGGCACATGAAGTCGAATGTCGTCTCCTTCTTGTCCCCTTTGTCACCATTGAAAGTGCGGTATTTCACCATATGGTACAGTCATTTATCGAAATATGCTACGCACGCCAACCCTCGTGACCACACCGTTATCGTCAAAGTTCGCAGTTGCTTCTCGGATGATGCAACACCGTCCCGTCGATGAAAGAAACTCGGCGAGGTTCACTACGTTCCTGACGAGCGATCGATCTCGGGCTTCTCGCCTGGTGTGATGCTATCAAGGTTGATGCTAATGGCAACTTAGCAGAAAATTCACCAACTTTTGATCCGCTGGTGACGAAAACTTCCCGTGTTCGCCATGTCTATCTTTTGTTGCTTAATGTTAAACGTGTTTTGTTCTATTCTGAAAACAGTTTTGTATTATCTAAACAAATATTCTGTTCTATGTCTTACACCACACGTTGCGCTATTTCACTACAAATTTGGCGATAATAATAAATGGCATGGCAACTTTTGGATATCAGCGGCTTGAGCGCTGGCGCCTTTTTAGGTACACACAATGGCAACTCTGGATGCTATCATCATGTGTCCTTAGCACAACGGAGGTGGCGACTCTTTTTATGTCGATTCAGCCACACTCAATTCCAGCGCTGGCGCTTTTGCTAGCGAGTACAATGTCGGCACGTAATGAACGGCATTGGCATTTCTCCAGCACTTGACTGCAATGGCAGAAACCCGCTAGAATTTTCGCGGATGAAAAGAAAAAATGTTCTCAAGTAAGGCACTCGCCTGTCAGGGTCAAACTCTTCCGGGTGGTCACAAAATCGAGGGTCCTTATGTATTTGCTCTGTGCAAGCCATAATACTGATGCCCTTCGGCAGAACCATGTCTTTGTAAGGATAATCGCAGGACGCCTTCCTTGATGTGAATCTAGAAATATTTGTAGAAAAGAAAAGGAAATCAAGAACAATTTGCACACTACTGCAAATGCGCTAAAGCACTTGTCAAGTAATGTTAGTAATGGCACGAAAGCACTGAAGATATGTGGATGAGTATGCAACAATGAGTATGAAAACGAGAAATGAGTAGCGCAATTTCTAGTGTCATCGTAGTATTTCATTAATGATTGTTCACTTTAGGAGGTTGTGCACAAAATATATATTTGTAATTACTTGGTACGGGAAAGTAAGGAGAACTAACAGAGTGTGATGCCACGCAAAGTATGGGAAATTTAATTAGTCGTCATTGTGATTTAAATGCATGTACGTGTGAAGAATAAAAATGGACGAAAAGATCTCTTGTTAACGGCAGGCACAATACCTGCTACTTTTGAATAACGCGTACGATGCTCTACCCACTGAGTCACAGGGATAGTGATCCATCTGTCCCCTTTATAGGGTATCTATGTACATGTGTAAACGTTAGAGCGTCAGTCAGCGTCATCATTAGCCATTGCGGCGAGTGTGAAACTCTTCGTCAACCGGTTGACTTCGCGTAGCACGTGATCCTATTGCAAGCTGGAAGATAAGCAGTAATCCATCGTATACTACCTGAAGGCAGTAGGCGAGGCGAAATCGCACGTCATGACAGCAGCGCAACAAGGCACAAAGGATGGGAAGAAACAGAGACGAGCGCTGGACTTACAAGTGGTGTTTATTTCCGAAACGGAGTGCAATATAAGAAATAAGAAGACACGTGAACAAAAAGTTGGAAAACATAATTTGCAATAATCCAAAAAGAGCAATTAGCCTACGACACTCAGGTGGTCATGCACGTTGGACAAGTAGTGCACTTTTTTCCCCGTCAAATTAATGGTCACGCACTATGAGATATAAGTGCACTGTATGTCCCGCGCACATGCTCACCGTAACTGGCGCAGGCTGATTCTTCTTCTTTTTTTTTTGCAAATATTCCTTTGCAATTTTCAGTTCACGTGTTGCCTTTCTTTATATTCCGCTCCGTATCGGAAGTGGATTGATTTGTGGGGTTTAACGTCCCAAAACCACCATTTGATTATGAGAGACGCCGTAGTGGAGGGCTCCGGAAATTTTGACTTCCGGGGGTTCTTTAACGTGCACCCAAATCTGAGTGTATACACGGGCCTACAACATTTCGGCCTCCATCGGAAATGCAGCCGCCGCAGCCGGGAATCGAACCCGCGACCTGCGAGTCAGCAGCCGAGTACCTTAGCCACTAGACCACCACGGCGGGGCACCGTATCGGAAGGAAGCTTCAGTATTAAGTTCAACCCTTGTTTGCGTTTTTTTCCTATCCCTTGTCCCTTGTGGCACTGTTTTCAGTACTATGGACCACCAATTTGCACAAACATTTTGCTCTCTTAAAGGGGCCTTGCAATATTTGTTGAGCATGTTCAGAAAACACTGCCGATCGGTACGATAGGCTCCAGAGAACACGCGAGCCAAATATTGTGGCGCAGCACGTGCACGGTGCGGAATATGCAACAAATTATCTAAGTAAGCTGAAGATCACTTTCTATTCCTTAGACAAATGATGGAGGTAGCTCAAAAATTACTCGCAGAAGGCCATCTACCAGCCATTACCTGATTTGAACATGGCGCGCTCGGTCGTAACAGGGATCGCCGCGGGGGCCGCAACCTTTCCGCGCGTGCACATGCGATCACACTGAAAAAGCCGCGTATTCGATGAGAAAAAAATAAAAAGTGCTCAAGGCCACGAGGCGCGCGTGACGTTTTTTTGTTTGCCCCTCCCATTCCTCCCTGCTTAGCTTCTAGCGCTTTTGTCGAGACGAGAGAAGAGAGAATGCAATTACAAAGATAACAAGATACACTGCTTGAAACAAGCGAAAATTGAATCTAACGGGGAATCGTCAGCTGTCGAACACGGGAAGAAGAGTTTTTTTTTTTAAAAAGTATGACTTATTTGTAAAGTAATAGGTGAATTTTTTAAAGACTGGAGCCCGTTTCGACGTTGTCGCAATGCCTAATAGGCTTTCTGTATTTTTTAGGTAAAATTGTGGGCTTATTTTTTTTTCACAAAGGCAGCAAAAGCAAGCAAATATTAACGTAATCAGGGGCATTAACTTGAAACACTAGTGCTGCTATATTTTGTTGAGTTGATCGCCTGGCACTACTTATGGTTTGAACGAACCTATCCTTTAAAGCGAAAGCCGTTATGTGATCACAACTCGTGTCACGCGCAGTTGTCCACCACCACCGCCGGTGCCCGTAACCACATCACGCGAAATAAGAAAAAAAATGTCTAGCAGTAATGGCTTAGTGGGGCTCGAAACCAAGTCCGCTGGGTATTCCCAGTATTCTGCCACTGGGCCACACTGTTTTTTTTTCTCGCAGGGTATTTATTACAAAGGTGGCTTACGTGTATACATAGAGCACAACATACATATATGATCAAGTCGACAAATGTACAATAGACGTTACTAAGTTTATCTTGAACAAAACAATTCTAGAGGAGTACTTGAGTAAAACACTTCATGAACTCAGCATACCAGTCCGGCTGAAAATGCAGTTGGTCATAAAAGTCCCTTAGCCGCACAGTCATTTGCACAAAGTGGCATCGCGAAGACACCATTGGTTCCACATTCCTGTCAAACATGCAAGTTTTTCATAAACTATGCATGCCCATTAACAAAAGCATGTCAACTGGCATGTCGTTGCATTTGGATGGTACAAGATTACGGATGCTATGAGAATTTAAATCCAGATGTTTTTTTTAAAGCCGTCTGCAGGGCATCGCAGAAAAGTATGGCATCTTTACAACTAATAAAGCAATGTTCGATTGTTTCTGGAGCTTTACAGAGGCGGCAGTTAATGAAGGCTACGAATTTGCTTTTCATGTTTACCTAAGTTTTTACAGGTAGTGTTTCTGTATGCACTTTGTGAAAAAAAAATCTCTTGGATATTGGTGAAATCGGCATTTTCGTTACACTTAATAGCCCGTCATGACCAGAAAATCCAATATATAGTGAGCGTTAAAATGAGACTTTAAAAAAAAGCCACACTGGTGCATGGGACTTGCTGTGAAACTTGCTTTGGTAAAGCTTGATGTGGGAAAGCAGTCGCTTAATTACTACTTATCAAGCATTTTAAAACAGTGAAAGAACAAGCAGTCGTCGCACAATGCGAAGAGTGTAACGAGTGGGTCGTCTAATGCTCCAGCCCAATATAAAAGCTTGTTCTTGTTCCCCCATTAACTGTGGCGCATACCCACTCCAGCCATATTTCCTGATCGTCGTCAGCCACTGCATAAACAATTGGCATAAAAGTTCTTGCAAGTGTTTAGTGGATACTACGCTTCTCAGAAGAACGACAAAATATAGCATACCGAATGCCGGCCTACTAAGCAAAATTTTTTTATTAGTGCTTTATAGTGGGTATCAAGCATGCTTTATAGTGGTTGGTAGTTACCCAATGAGTGTTTTGAAAGGCTCTGAAAGCCTGCTCTTCTAGCTTTCACTGTGACTGTGCTGCGCTTTCCGCGCAGGTCTGGCGTTTTTGTAAAAGGGTGGCTGAACGCGTTCCACTCATTTATATATGTACACTTTATGAATAGGCCACTTAGTTTTATGATCAGAATTTTTTCTTTTTTTAAACTCCTCATATTTTGAATGATGGTGTAATGCATTTGAGTGAATGCGCTTGCAGATGACAACGCTTAGAGGCACTCAGAGAGTCTGTGTACCCACTGCGTTATTTCCATCGAATAAGCAATGTATTTATCACAACTTTCTCGACTCCGTGATAGTTACGCTTTGTGTTCGTGTACCTTGCATGCTTCCTCATTTGCATAAGCATGTACGTCATTCAATGGTTTCACATTAATACGAAGAGCGTTCGCAAAGTTGGTAATACTGAATTGAAATTGACTTGAACTGAGATATATTGCCACGCAAGTACCAAAAATAAATAAATCGCAAGAAGGCGGTATAAAATATGCGTAAGTACAGCTTGACTGGTCCAACATCACCGCACAATGACAGCAATTACATAACAAGAACTTCCACTTCCTGCAAAATTAAGGTAGAGAGAACTAAAAAGAAACACACCTTTTCGCGAAACACAGAAGCAAGTAAGATAAGTTGAAGTAATGCGTTTTCGGAAAAAGCACATGCGCTTTTATCGTATAACTTATATTTGTTTAGTGTTTAGTGTTATTGCCAAGATAAAAGAAGTAGAAAGGAACAATATTTAAGCGTTAGAATATTCTTCCTCTTCATAATCTCCTGACGCAGTCACGCACTGATGATGACGATGCATGAGCATGCCACATGTCATTGCAGTAGAACTTAAAACTCTGCATTTGAGGAGTTCAGAAAGCACTCGACTTCACCGTTCAGTTTTGCATCGTCCCAAAAAAGTCTCCCGTGCAGTGCGGTGTTCGATAGAGTACAGGAAAATAACTCTTTTGGTGCGAGATAAGGTGAATATGGACGGTCTGTCGTTATTTGGTAGCCTAAGAAGGGGGCATGCGTCATTGTCAGTTTGAGGCGGAAATGTTGTAGGCCCTTGTGCTAAGATTTGGGTGCATGTTAAAGAACCCCAGGTGGTCGAAATTTCCGGAGCCCTCTACTACGGCGTCTCTCATAATCATATGGTGGCTTTGGGACGTTAAACCCCACAAATCAATCAATCATTGTCAGTTGGACTGAATAAGCGGGTCTTCGTGTGTCTATGAATGCTGACATTTTTGTTTTGGTACTATATATAGAGTTGTGTGCTATTTTATAGAATAGAAGAGTTATAATACGCCTAAGCTAGGTAGATATGCTGGCTCATTGCAATCACTATATTGTACGCTTTCGTGAAATAAGCACACCGATAATAAGAACTGTATGAAGTCCCCCCGGGTAAGTCCGCATTCAATCGCTGGTGGATTGCTAATATAGCACATGCATCGAACCCAATTTGTAAATATCTGAAAGTGATTCAGATTAATTTATTCTCTATACTTACGCAATGACCGATGGGTAAAGACGCAGACATTCATCAATGGTTTGCCTTGTGTATTTGAGGTCTTTAATGGCGTCGTAGGTGAAGCCTTCCTGGAAGTTTAGAAAACGACAGGCCTATCACCTTCTAAGACATTGTAGATATATAGGCACGAATTACACGGAACAGAGCGTAGCCTGTTTCGAAGCATTTCTTAATGATTTAACCTTCGTGTTTAAGTACTGCGTGTACGCCAAAGAGCGTCGTTACATCAGAGCCATAGAAAACAACTACAGCAGCAACAGCTTCGCTAGTTAGCTCATTGCTGCAGCATAGGCAAGCGTGCAGCAGCATCAGCATTGGTTGTTAACGCCAAATTATTAAGGGCAACGACAACAATAATAAAACGAAATCATCGTCGAAACACGAGCACGAGTTCTCTGCCTCCGATAGCACTTCAGCGATTACCTCCATAGAGGAAGTGTATTTCTGCCGAATACTGTCTATTTAGTTTGGTGTTTTTTGCGTGAATTTACGTTCTATCCGAGGATCATCGCTCTCCTGCGGGCAGCGATGGATCCAGGCCCCACCGTACGCAATCCGGACTTGGCGTCACCTTCGACGTCAACCTCAAGGAAGCGCAACAGCCGGGAGGACGACAGCACCAGTGACAGCACTGAACTGTACACGGCGAGTAGTGAAGACAGCGACGAAGATTTCATCCCTGCAGTGAAGCGTAAAGCTAAAAGAAGAATGGCCGGCGCGTCTTCGCCAGCTAGCGTCTCTACCGTGAAGGCGGCGTGCAGTTCTGAACGCCATACCATACTTTTTGTTCCTGTCGACTCTTCGATCAACCTGAAGAACATGAACAGGCAAGTGATATCAGCGCGTCTCGAAGCTATTGTGCCTAATGAGATAAAGGATATTAGACTCAACCCACGGAAGAATATCCTGGCCATAAACGTTGAGCACCCGGCTGCGCTACATACCCTGCGAACTGTCACTGAGCTTGGAGGCATCTATCTCAGAACTTACATTCCGCAGGATAGTGACACGACGACAGGCGTCATTTATGACGTTGATGTTTCCATACCAAACGCAGACCTTCCTGTGCTGATAAAGCCAGCTACTGGGGCAACGGACATATTGCAAGTATGCCGGCTTGGCAAATCCCGTTGCATCAAGGTGACCTTCAGAGGTGATTGCATCCCATCACATGTAAAGGTTGGTCATTTTCGTCACGTTGTCCGACCATACATCCCAAGACCACTACAGTGCCACAACTGTCTAAAACTGGGTCATGTTAGTGCTGTGTGCAACAACAAGCAAGCATGCCCACGTTGTGCCGGACCCCACAAAGCAGAGGCTTGCCAAGCAACTCTCGTAAAATGCAGCAACTGCAACGGGAACCATGAGACCTCGTCCAAAGACTGCCCAGTACTGAAGAAAGAGAGGAGCATTCTGAGACAAATGGTTAAAGACGGATCCTCACGAAAGGAAGCGGTAACGGTTGTTCAACGATGGCGTTCCCGTCGACGGCGGTGCTCAAAGAAAAGAAAAAGCAGTCCTGTGCCGAAGGTGCCTTCACTAACGCCGCCACCGCCACCACTACCGCCGCCACGACCACAGAAACCTCCCCCGCCCCCGCCACCAGGTGGGCTACGTCTAGAGGTGCCGGAAGACACTGTGGCGCTACAGAGAACATCCGGCTTTGACTGGCCCACTTTACCGCGGGTACACGTGTCTACGGAACCACAATATCGACAGACAACAACGAATATGCCCCCAGCAGGCAGTCTATCCGCCCAAGAGGTACAAGTCTTTTCTGTATTGAGGTCGTTCATGAGTGTTATTCGCACTCTATTGGATAGTCTACATATCCCTGCCGCTAAATGCGCGCTGCAAATCTTGGAAACACTAGAACCAGTTCTTGCCGGACTTCAGTAACAAGATGGCGCACCATAGACCACATCAGCCTTTCCGAGAAAAAGTCAAGCTTGCTTCCATAATTCAGTGGAACGCAAGAGGTCTACAGTCAAGAATGCCTGAGTTCCGACAATTCATTTTCGAAAATAAGTTTCCCATCATCATCATTTGTGAACCGCATTTTTCAAAAATACCTCGTCTATCGGGCTATGAATCGTTCGTTTCTTCAACGTGCATTGAGCGAAGTCAAGTTGCTGTGTACATCCGTAAAGAACTCACTTACGTTCTCCAAAGAGTAGAGTCTCACAATGGAAATCACTACGTGTGTCTATATGTTAAAAAGAAGAAGTTGTCGTTTACGCTAATAGGCGCATATATAGCGCCGTCAGGTCGACTAAATCAACAGATAATGAATGGTATATTTGCAACGACTCCAGCACCTTGGATATTGATAGGTGACTTCAACGCCCATCATCCATTGTGGGAAAGCATCAGGACAAATCGAAAAGGCAAGGACCTAGTTGATCTCGCATCAGAGCACGGGCTTCAGGTGCTGAACGACGGCAGCCCTACTTATCTCCGAGGAGTAACTTACAGCAGTTGCCTGGACTTGACATTAGTGTCGCATAGCGTTGTCACGAAAGTCCAATGGTTCACAGATATTGAAACACATGGCAGTGACCATATCCCCACGTACGTGACAGTCAGAGGTTTGGACGATTCTCCTTCCCCTGGACATTCAAGACTTATTGACTGGGAAGAGTTTCAGATATCAGTGAAGAGCAAGTGCATACACGAACCACCGGAATCCATTGAAGAAGTGATTAGTTGTGCAATGGAGACTTCCACGAGAGAATCGAGATGCACGGCACTCGACCAAGAGTTGGAACAACTTCGAGCGGTCTGCCGACGTGCCGAAAGACGATACAGCCGCACGAAATCTATCTCTGACCTCAGAGAATCCAGACGCATTCAGAAAAAAATCCAGCGTCGAATGCACAAACTTCATGAACAACGGTGGAAGAATTTTAGTGACTCGCTAGACCCTCGAAAACCCTAGTCTCCCGTATGGAGGACTCTTCGAGGTATTCACTCGCATCCGCAACAGCGTCACCCCTTCGCCGCTCTGGTGCTACATCAACGTCGCTCACAGCTTGATGTTTCTGGGGAATTTTATGCAAAGATCGCCGGTGACATCTCTATACTGATCGATCTAATGCCACAGGATGTTCCAGTCGCACGAGATCAGCAAATGGAGGTTGCATTCACCATGGAAGAACTTCATGCGGCATTAAACACATGCAGACGCTCATCGTCCCCAGGTCCGGATGGAGTGACCTATACTGCCCTACGTCACCTAGGCCTGAAGGCACAGCGCTGTCTCCTGGACATTTTCAATAAGTCTTCGCATGATGGAATGGTGCCTGATGAGTGGAAGTGTAGTCGCCTGGTGCCTTTGCTGAAGCCCGGAAAGTCTCCATTCGACTCGGCATCATGCCGGCCTATAGCACTAGCAAGCTGCGTTGGTGAGGTCATGGAGAGGATGCTGCTTACACGCATGGAATGGTACCTGGAACATTATAACATCTATCCTGATGCTATGGCTGGTTTTCGACGAGGTTGGTCCTCAGGTGATAGCGTTATTGACTTAGTGACCTCTGTTCAGCATCAGAAAGCTCAGAAGCGGCTGTCGGTAGCTCTGTTCTTAGACGTGAAGGGTGCCTATGACAACGTGACTCACGAGGCTGTTCTCAATGCTCTTGAAGCAGCTGAACTTGGAGGTCGTGTCTTTCGATGGGTAAGAAGCTACCTCACAAAGAGATCCATGTTCGTTTTAACTGAAGATGAGTCTACGAATAAGTATTTCACAAGTCGTGGGGTGCCACAAGGTGGTGTTTTCAGTCCAACACTTTTCAACCTGGTTCTCGTGGGGCTCACTGAAATGCTACCACAGACGGCTTATATATCTTTCTACGCTGACGATATCTGCATTTGGGCGTCCGGCGCGACACGGCCTCAAGTACGCGCAAGAATACAGAAAGCGGCAACAATGACATCGACATACCTTCGCCAGCAAGGTTTGACTATCGCCACAGAAAAATGCGCAGCGGTGGCGTGTACACGCAAACCGATGTCTTTCTACTCATTGTGCATCGATGGCAGATCAATCCCATATAAGAGCGCTCATAGATTCTTAGGCGTCATCGTGGATCGTGACCTAACCTGGAGCCCGCATGTCACATACCTAAAGAAAAAGCTCATTGGCATTGAGAATGTATTCAAGTTCGTCGCCGGAAAATCATGGGGCCCATCCGTGCACTCCATGTTGCAGCTTTATACAGCCCACTTTCTCGGAACTCTCCGGTACAGCCTTCCTGTCCTGTCCAACACGTGCAAGACTAACATCCGTGCACTGCAAAGTGTACACGCCCAAGCACTTCGGACATGCCTTGGCCTTCCAAGATGCTCATCGACAGTGTCAACTCTTGTTATTGCACTAGAACAACCGGTCACAACGCACATCATTGTCGAGACGCTGAGAGCGCACATTCGGCATTTATCACGGCTACCGTCACATCATTTAGCGTGTTTGACAGCTCGGAGGCCCCATTCTTCGTAATGCGGTATCGTGACAAAACATCAGGACATACTACCGCCTGGCTTCAAACTTGCGATGCATCCAGCAACTGCGCCATGGAGTCTTCGTCAACCTGACGTGCGCTTATCAGTTCCTGGAATCTTTAAGAAGGCACGCATGTCAACGCTAGCCCTGAAGCAATTGACTTTGCGTCTGTTGGACGAAAGATACTTCGACCGCATACATGTTTACACCGATGGCTCCACTAATTCCAACAGCTCCACAGGAGCAGTGGTTGTTCCATCTGAAAATGTGTTGCTTCAGTACAAGTTTTCTCACACCACGACGTCGACAGCAGCAGAGCTCGCAGCACTTCAAGGTGCAGTAAAGTACATTCTTCGCCAGCAACCTAACCAATGGGCCATCTTTTGCGACTCCAGGTCAGCCTTACAGTAACTACGGTTTGTTATGCAGCACGGGCTACATGAACAATCACTATATCAGATAAGGCACGACTACCACGAAGCGGTCGCGGAAGGTCACGATATTGTATTTCAGTAGTTGCCGAGTCATTGCGGAATCGTCGGCAATGACCGCGCGGACGAAGCTGCTCGATCGGCTCATGACCAAGACCAGCGCACGCCCATACCACTCTTGAAAACGGACGCTGCAAGGCTACTACAATCACTTGCTCGCCGTATATCTCTCCTACAATGGAATACGCAGGGTTTCTCCAACACGCACCTGTACTCGATCGACCCAAACTTGCAACTTCGTTTGCCATTCGGGTACCCACGATGCGCTGAAACTTTACTGTGTCGCATGAGGTTGGGCGTGGCATTTACGAATTCGTACTCTCGTCTCCTTGGAAAGGCGAGCACTTCGGCATGCAACATCTGCGCCTGCGAGGAAACGCTTGAGCACATTCTATGTTATTGCCCAGCATACCAGACTGAACGACGTATTATGGAAGCCAAGCTCTGTCAGCTGGATTCACGGCCGCTTACAGAAGAGAAGATGCTGGGACCTTCGCCGACGGCTTCCCATACGCGCAAAGCCACGAATGCCCTCTTGTACTTTTTAAGGACCACCAAACTTCACGACCGCTTGTGAAAGAACTGTGCGAAGCCGTGCTGTGTAGTCTCGAGCTGACTATTTATGCTTCTCTTTCTTACTCCTTTTCTTTTCTGTCTCTTTCCGTTCTATTATTCCCATTTTCCCCCACTCCAAGTGTAGGGTAGCCAACCGAGCCAAGCTTGGTTAACCTCCCTGCCTTTCCTCTCTATTTATCTCTCTCTCTCTCTCTCTCACCTCCATAGAAACATCGCAGGAGTAGCCGGGCAATCCACGATTTTAAAAGGCTCAGCTAATTACACAGATCAGTTACTGCTAACGAATGTGACAAAGAGAACGCATGCATGTGTTCCACGTCTGAGTGCCACCGTAGACAGCCTTTACTCTCAGCTTTGAAGACAGATGAGACTGAGCAATGAAGTATAGGAACGCGTCCGAATCCTGGCGCCCCGTCTGCACCACTTGCGCACAACGTGCAGCAACATCTGTGCGCAACATTATGGCACCACGTCCACACTGTCGTGACGCCATCTCGCGTCGATAGCAGAAGGCTAAGAATATCCTGTAAAATCACTGCTCTTTTTGAACTCCTTTCGTATTCGTACTTATAAAAGCTTCACCGTATAGGTCAAGTTCTTTGCCTAACAAATTGTAGTGGTGTCTCTCTTTGAGCTTGTGTCATAGATAGAGTGTTTGTAGACTTCTGTTCAATCACCATTGTTCGGACGACAAAGTAGCTCGCATACTGTTTGTCGACGATTCTGACTTCCGAACGCTGTCGTGTTGCCGGCTACGTGAGAAATGAAGTGAAACTAAAGACAACCGCTCATCGCTTAGCTGTATACGGTGAGTATTGGGACGCACTCAAAAATAGAACATCGTTTGCAGTTAACCTCGTGGTCGGCGGTTTTGTTTAAACATTAAAAATACGTTGAGTGGAGAAGAGTCCTTTACTTACGTATTTCTCGTAGACGGCGTTCACCTCTCGCCTGATCTTCTCCTGCACCTCCGGGTGCCTGGCAATACAGAAGGCGCAGATGGATCCGCTGGCTGAAACAGTCTCGAACCTTGTGCACCAAGAAAGGTACCAAAGCGTAGTCAGGCAAGAGTAGCAACTGAACAAGGAATCATGCTGTCACTGTTGTTACACTGGGTCTGTTAATTTATTCTTGTTAGTATATTCCCTGAGTGGCATTGTTTGAATAGCTTTTTCTGCATCACTAGAAGTGGCAGTATGGTCAAGCGCGCGAGGTACTAGTGGAAGCCACTCATAACAATATTCAAGGGTCATGAAAATTTCATTGCTATAAGTCGATATTTGCAATGCACGGTTTGAACTAAAAAAAGACAAAGTATGAGGACAACAGGCTGCTGTTAGGAAAAAAAAAACATCGAACTTAATATGGCAAAACACACCAGTGATACGAATGAGAAAGCGACTAAATTTTCGGACAAGCTGGAAAATTTGGATGCTTTCGCGGGACCGCCAAAACCACCGCTTCATTGGTACATCTTCCGTGTTGGTCAGAGCCATATTATAGATAAAAACAAGCAAGCAAGGAAGCACTTGAAAATCAATGTACGAAACGCTTGTAGTGTCGGACTCTGGGAGACGTCGAAGTTTTCACTTTTTACACGAACTTTATGTTCCAAAGCGCATGAACAAAAGCCCCCAACACTCCCGCGCCATATCAAATTAAGCAAGTTGGCTTTCCGCTAAGCTACAGACAGCACTATGCGAGGAAGCATACCAATAAATCGAAGTTCCGCTGGGTGACATTGGGGCTGTCTGTGGGTGTTCAGCAGCTTGTATTTCTCTTTTTTTTTTGTATTGACATTGAATTACCTTTAAGCATGGACAACCAATGGCCAAGGTTTATTTTTATAACCAATTCTGCGACATGTGCTGATTTCTGTAAGCGTGTTAATTTACGATAAAACATGAAAATGTTGATTATGCAGCAGCTTTTCACTGTTATGTCCGATGTATTGTTGAAAGTGGTATCGTTACAAGTGAGTACGACAATATAGTGCAGAGTAATGAAGTTTTAATTATTAGTAACAAGCACTATAGAATGGAGCACCCAGTTGTGTAGAATACTACACTGTAGTAGGTGGAAGATAAATAATTCTCAATTGAATATGTTTTTATTTGTAAAAGTGAAGCGGAATACGATGTGGTTACTGATAGGAGGCTGAGTTTAAGCTAATTGGTATACTCACATATTGAATAACATAGGCGTACATTACCGTGATATGGAACGTGCGTCCGTTTTAGCTGTTCCTTTCTCGGCACGCTTCCTGCTTGCTGTGTCGTTACCCATACTGCTGTGTTACCGGTTTGTGTGTTTAAAAAAAAGTGAGACAATTGTAATGAAGGAATGAAGACAGCACCACGGAACAACAAGCATCATCACGAGAGGAAGCCGCCACGAGATCAGTGCTCGAGCACCTTCATCTTCCTCGTCCCGTGGCTATCTACTAGCTTCCTGCCTGTTTATTAGGTTCGCCCAATAAGCCTCCTTACGCAAGTATAAATTTAAAGAAAATCATGAGGGGGGGGGGACCAGAAGGCGACGAGCTCAGTTTTCTGAAAAGATCTCAAGTCATAAACGATGTCTAGCATATGAAGAAACGAATTGAAACAATGAAAATACCAAGTTTAAAAACAAGGCCATTTGATTTGGAAATCAAAGCACTGTACACTTGATTGGTGTGTTGAGGAGCAGAGGCTCAAAGAATGACTTAGTGTACTGTAAATCAAGGATGTTTTCAATGCAGTCCTGCTTATTATGTGTTCAAACTTTCCTTATGCCCTCACAAGCCAGAAATGCATATTGCATAACGCTGACTTCGCTCTGTGAAATTGACGCTTAATCAATATCGCTTTGAAGCAGGACTGCGAAATGAGCGCAATATTTTCCTTCGATTTGACATACGTTCCGCACTTTCTCGTTTGAAGTTGATGATATTTAGAGCTATTGTAGTGTACGTAATCCTAATTTCTTCCTATGATTGTTCCAACGTCGGCTAAAATAAGTAATGTGCGATTTTACAGCTGTGTTCAAAGCAATACGATTGAAGCGGTGAAACTGAAGGCGCCAAAGATAGCCTACCTACCCAGCCGTAAGTAGGGTAGCGGCGTTGGTTGCGACATCTTTAAGAGGCATCAAGAAGTTTCCTGCAAAAACAACGAGGCAGAAACGAGTAAAAAATTCACTAGAATCGATTAGCACTTTAAAACGCGCATTGAGGGAGAAAAGTATATAAATATATTCACGTATGTGTGGTCGAGACGCGTTCATGTACTGAAAGTCCGCGAATGTTCTTTCAGAGGTGATGTCTTCAGGTATCATTATATTTTTGTGATCTACATGAATGAATGCATGAATGAATGAAATGCTTTATTAGCTGACGTGACAACATTTCGGACAACAATGTGTTTTACCTGGCTTCGTCAGTCTGATTACCTCGCTTATTATTGACTGTAACTGCCCTGCTGTGGTGCACTCGGAGGCGATACAGGTAAGTAGAAAGTAATTCATTTTAAAGATACGAGAAATTCGAGCTTCATCTTCGCCCATTTTGTACCACCTTAATGGATGGACTTTCCTTCGGGAAGCGACATTGGGTCACTCGATGATTGCGAATACTTACAGAAAATCGCGGACGAATCCGTCTTTCCAGTTTTGAACGTATCATTCCAGAAGCAGGTTACAAGAGAGGTTCATACACCGTTCCTACTCACCTTTGTTATCGGTACGCTCACGGAAGTGGCGCCATCTGAGGAGCTCCTCGGGAACCTTGGTGTTCAGTAGACTCTGTATCACATCTGCACGAGCCAGCTGCAGAAGATATGAAGAAAAAAAATAGGGAAAGAAAATAGGTGATAATAATAGCCTAAATAAAAGCAGGAAACAGAACATTTTGTGCATTCACAAGTTGCAACAAAGCTTAAGACACTTCGTAGTGCAAGACGCCACGAGCGATTGTTAATTTTGAGTCATTATTATTGCGCGCTGGCCTGATCACACGCCGATCACAGATTATGCCTGAACGTTGGTTGTCAATGGACCCAGCATTCTCACCGGTGTTCTGGACTTCTTCGAGATAAGAAAATCAAATGCGATGGCCAAGTTCATTTGGCACTCTATCACGTTGTTGCACGGTCAGACGTGTAGATATTTGTCAAAAACGCTCGATTTTATTTTCGACTCATCGGCGCCACCGTCTTTAACTTATAAGCGATAGTTTTGGCGGTTTTATACGTCGTGATATGGAATAATGGTGGTGATGAATCGTTGAATCCCGAGCCCCAGCGTTTTCGCGCGTTCGAGTTCACCGTATAGCGCTGATTGTTTATTTGAAACTGATGCAAAACTGCAATGTAATCTTTCCAAGAACACTTCAGTGCTGTTAATCTTATCACTTTCATTGGTGTACCCTGTCTATTTTTTTGTACGCACGTGTCAATGTTTAGGCAGAATTGCGAGTTGGGCCACCTGTGAAATATTTTTCTCAGAAAAAAAAAAAAAACCCACGGTTTCTTATGTGTTGAGTGAAGAGGTGGCCCGAATGCCGAATGCATTTTGATGCGATAGCGTTAAATAGCTCATTTCGCTAAAATTGCGGTGTTGCCGTCGGTGCAGGCGTCGATGAATGTAAGCGAAAAATCATTCTTGCCCGTCACTGAAAAATTCAGAAAGGTGCAAGTAAATTATAAAAACCAGTCCGAGTGAGCATCGAAACCAGGCCATCTGCGTCTAATGTAGGTGCTCTACCACACAGCCATGCTATTGCTTGTCTGCATGGAAAGCGGAGGCTGTACCACAGATAACGCTATCATTTATCTGCGTGGAAAACCGATGCTCTACCACAAAGCCACGCTATAGTTTTTCTGTTTAGTTTACAATGTCCCTTTGATGTGTCACTTCATTTTAACTTTGTGTTGCATATTTCTGTGACTTGTCAGTGTCAAACATGCAGCATATGGTACTGAAAATGCCATCCCTGTGATGAAAAAATCAAGACAGTGCAGGTATCTCATACATACATAAATACCTAAAGCGCTTGCAGTGCAATTGAAAGATTGAAGACGTTATCTTATCATTCTGCCCATCCTCTAAATATGTTCAGCAGTAAGTTCTTTCATGGTGTCCGTGTTTGATGGGCTTGGTAAAAACCGGACTCACACTTTGATCCTTCTCCCTGAGTACAACGACTGGCTCTGACTTCCGTGCCAAAGCTGTCAGTGGTTCACCGCCGAAATGACGCTCCAGCATGCATGTGAGTGCCAAGATGCTCCTGACCCGAGAGAAGAACTCTGCGCCATAAGAGTAGCGTATGAAATAGGAAATTATTATAGGTCAGCTTGAGCGTGCTCCTGTCAACATTGCCGCAGTGTTTTAAGTCAGGTAAAAAGGCTTCTTGCGAGGCAGTTGGTCCAGCGATATTTAGCAGTCAGAAAATAAAGTGCCGCAGAACGCAAGATTAGTCACGGTGGTTTACAGCAGCTGAAATATGCTAACACAGATAGTTATTCATATGTATTCGACACAAGATTATACACTATAGTGGGTACGTTTTAAGCCCCGAACGATCGCCAGTGCTACAAGTCATCATCATTATCATCATCATTATCAGCCTGACTACGCCCACTGCAGGGCAAAAGCCTCTCCCATGATTCGGCAATCGACACTGTCTTGTGCTTTCCGTTGCCCCGTTATACCCGCACACTTTTTAATCTCATCGGCCCACATAACTTTCTGTCTTCCCTTCGACCTCCCATGAACACAGCTGTCAAATGCTGGCCCCCATCTTTTTGTTTAACTTTTTTCTTTCGGACAGCAAATGTCACACTGTGAAAAATATTTTCAATAAATGGATTCGGCCAACCTATATTCACTGGATGGACGTGACCGTGAATTAATCAGTGACATGTGACTAATTCGCGTCTCCGCGCAGGTGTCATTTAGGTGACAAGGCAGCATTCATACTACAACCAGTGGTGTTTCGTACAACGCCGAAGGATTCCCGATCAGAGACATGAAAACTGCCTATTTCGGAAATTTTTCCTTGCAAATATCGACGAAGTTCCCAGCACATTTCCTTGCACAACAATACTGATTTCCGTCCCCATGCACGCACAAACAGTATAGTTACACGTGTCTGACGTACTAGTGACGTTTGAAATCACGACTGGCCTTTGCACTGCCGCACAACAAAAGCATGAGTTTATTGATTCATATACTCTTAATAATTTGCACATTGTGGGCTTCAAATCTAACACCTATAGTGAACTAGGAATCACTCCACGAAATTATAAGAAATCTCAAGGGCCATGCTTGCGTGATGCATGCACCAGAGCCGATTACAGCAGATTAAGGCGCACTGTGACAGCTAATCATCAGTCGCCATTGAAGAATTTAACCATTCCTGAAATTTCCTGCAATATTACGAAGATTCCTTTTTTCCATTTGGATCAAAGGGACAGGTGAAAATTACCCGAAAAGGACTAAACTCTCTGAACGGAACATCACTGGCTACAATCGACGGCATTGTAGCAAAGCAGCCATTTCGGCTAGTTCGGAACAGGGGTGGTCTCTGTTTTGCACTGCGCCACATTTTCTGCATTCAACACTGCCCCCCGAGTATAGCAACTGTGACTCGGGCCTCCCTGATTTTGCGAATCGCTCCGCGCGGACCAAAGTGGGAACATGGCAACGGCTGACGTATGGTGACGTAGTATACAATCTGCAGACTTGAATAACGATTTGGTTAGTCGTGTTGATACAGCTTAATCTGCACATGCAGTTTAGTGAAACATTGAAGTGACACAATAACCCGGAAGGCAGCCATGGTTTATTTAGGCTAATGAGATTGTTTAGCTTTTTTGAACATCATATATAAGTAGTACAAGATCATAGAGAAAGATTGCAATAGTACTAGTACAGTTGGTATCACGTGAGTTGGTATGATATGATCGTAGTACAAATGGGAGTCTTTTTTAGAGGTGCGAGTGCCGAATGACAGCCTGGGTTCTTTTCCAAGCACTTTCGATCGGGTGTATACTTCCGGTTTTTCGAATTCCGAAGCTAAGTGTTCTAAAAAATAAAACCAGTCGGTAATCGATTATGGTATCGGAGAATAAGTGTGCATCAGATAAGGGCCTGTCTACTGCCAGGGTAATGAATGACAATTTATTGAATGAGTTCACTGAAAGACAGAGCATTATTTTGTGAGGAGCTAGAATCATTGTGCCATCTGACTGAGAAGATTTACACCACGCGGCTCTTCACGCGTAGCCTCTGAGAATCGCTTCGGCAGTGCGATGAAGCATAGTGAAACTATGCAATACACAAGGAAACATGGGCACCGAGGTGTGAGCGCTGCTGCAAGAACCAGAAGAAAAAAAAAGTGTAACAGATATCTTTTCTTTCAGGCACACGTAGAGGCAACGCCGGTAACGCGCTGCGAAGGGGAGTTTCATTTGCAAGGAGAGGGATCAGTTCGTTGTTGCCTTTAGTGGTCTACATTTGAGTGACGCTCTTGTACTCACGGCCGATCCTCTGGTATGCACTTTCGACGGTGTTGAGAACGTAAGACCTCGCCGACTCGAAGTACTCGTCATTGACCTTGTGTTGCACGTCCAGGTATAGACCGCACGCCGTCTCGGCCACCACGTCAAAAGCGAGGGAGCCAATGAGCGCGTGGATGTTGGCTGCTCCATCAGGCGCCTTGAGGCACCGCTCTTCCAGCAGATCGATGAAGCGATCCACAGCCTCGTTCATAGCGGGCATCATCTGCATTGACGGCGATGCCCGAGGCAAGCATTAGGAAAGAACTGAGAAGTGCAGACCGATTTCACTTGTGTGCAGATGGAAGCCAACGGCTCCATGTTAGTCAGCGGTGGCTTCAGATTGTTTTCGCGCCCATTCACGCTACTGCTCACGTTGCCACACTTTTATTTCCCGCTCTTCCTCGGGCTGAGGAACTGCACGCGTCCGTGTGATTGAGAGTCTAGAGGGCCAATGTCAACAACAGCGATAGCACTAACTCTACGTCACCAGACAAAGGGAGCTCAATAATGATTGTCGGAAAGGGCATCTGCCGAGCATCACGACACTCGGTGAATCGGCATTGGCAGTGGCGAATAGGCGAGAGGTGCTCGAGACGACAAACTGAGGGGAGCCTGCCATGAAAGGCAGAGGGGTACCGAAAATTGTTCAGTTTTAGTTTCAGTTTTTTATTGAGCGTTTTCTTTACAAAATTGCGAAAAAAACGCAAGGATGAGAGCGAAAAGTTGCTATGTTAGCAGCTTGACGAGCCTCCTACCTCTTGTACTTGGCACCACAGAAACCGCAAAGCAATTCCAAGTTGTTTTGTCTACGGACGCCATCCGTCAAAGCTTAGCTACAAACAACGTGGATGTAAAACTCAGATGCTTGCAAAGCATCTACAAGAACAAGAATTCACGCAGAATGAGTGATGTTTACAATCATTTGAACTAACCAAAAAATAAGTCAAGGAACGTATTGGAAAGCTATTTGTAGCACTTGTTATGTAACAGTGAAGATTGTAACGTGGAAGGAGAGATAACTTTCCGGTGGCAGGGACCGAAACCGCACCTGGGTGCCCTTAAATGCTGTTTGAATTCTCATAAAACTACAAGCGCCACGTGCGTTCTGTCGGATTGGGAAAGCTTCATGGTGGCGCACATTAGACGACGAACTTTTACTGCAGTTACCACGTGCATCACTCGCGACCCGCAGATACTCAATATCGGATTCTGCGTGCGATGTCTTCATCAAGGTCAAAATGCAATGCAAATTTGCTTGTTGAAATAGAGAGATAAAGGAAAAATAAGGTAGAGCGGAAGGCTGGGAGATTATTCAGAATAAAATGTACGGTTCGCCCCCTGCACTTGGGAAAGGGAAATGAGATGAAAAGGTAAGAAGAGAAAGAAAGGAATGTAAAAAATATAAAATGAACAAACACTCAATCACGGGAATGTCACAGTCGTTTTGCGAGTCAGGTTGACCACATACACTTCGTCAGCAACTTCATCACTTTCTGGCTTGAAGTTCGAATGTTACGGCGCTCCAAAATTGACAGCACCGAAAGCAGCCGGTCATCAAGCCGTGCTAAAGTTGCAGAAAGCTATTGTCTTTGGGAGCTATAATGAGGACAGTCACATACATATAGGACGTAGACAATGGTTTTCTCATGGCTACAGTGGTCACACGCAGCATTGTGAACCCTTCCGATTCGGCAAGCGAAAGTGTTCGCGAATAAAACTCCTAGCCACAAGTGGCAGAGAACGATTGTTTAGGATCGGGACAGTCCAGATGGAAATTGGAGTTGAAGTGACGGATCGAAAAGGTGTAAAAGGAAGGAAGGAAGGAAGCAACAAAAAGGGAGAAGGCAGGGAGGTTAACCAGAAAGACATCCGGTTGGCTACCCTACACTGGGGGATAAAGGAAGGGGACAAGAAAGACGAGAAAGAGGGAAGAGAGGGAAAAAAGGGGGTGGGGGAGAGACTGACAGTAATTTCACTGCAGCGTGTAGAAATCTACCGCATGTCAGAGGCGTTCACACAAGCCTGTCTTTCTCAGGAAACGCAGCAGGGCTTTCACTGCCTTGTGGGCTGTCGAGGCATGTGTACGTTGCTGTAGTAGCACCTGCACAGAAAGAGGCCGATCATCCAGTCGCCGCATTGCGTTGGCAAGTACTTGTCTCTCTGAGGCAAATCGAGGACAATGACACAGCAGGTGTTCGATATTTTCGTCGGTGCCGCAAACATCGCACGCCGCACTGTCAGTAATTCTGATTAACGTGGTATATGCTTTCGTGAAAGCAACTCCCAGCCAAAGGCGATAGAGAAGCGAAGCTTCACGTCGATGTAGGCCGGGTGGAGGCCGGAGTTGTAGTGATGGGTCGAGCTCGTGCAGTCGTGTCCGTCGTATGCTTGGTGTGTTCCACTCGGTCAGTGTGAGACTGCGGGCCAGTTGACGAATCTGCCTCGCTGCATCCGCTCTTGAAAGCGGTATCGAAACACTGTTCCCTTCTTTATGTGACGTGCGAGCAGCATGATCTGCAGAATCATTGCCGCCTATACCACTATGCCCAGGTAACCACTGAAAGACGATGTCATGGCCTTTTTGTATTAACAGGTGGTGTAGTTTCACGGTTTGGTAGGTCAACTGGTCGTGGCATCCGCGTCGGAGAACTGATATCAGGCACTGTAACGCTGGTTTTGAGTCAGAAAACACAGCCCATTTACCTGGTCTTTCTTCTGAATTGATGTGTTCCAGTGCATTGCGCAGAGCCTCGAGTTCTGCCGTCGTCGAACTCGTCACATGTGAAGTCTTAAAACACCGAGTTATCCCTTGTGATGGTATAACCACTGCTCCACCTGAACTAGACGGCGTAGTAGAGCCATCCGTGTAAATGTGCACGTGGTTACTGTAGTTTTCTTCCAGTAGGGATAGACTCAGTTGTTTCAGGGCATGTGTCGGTAAGTCCGATTTTCTCCTTATTCCTGGAATCATTAAGTGAACTCGCGGCCGGCTCAAGCTCCAAGGAGGAAGCAGTGGCTTTGATGCAGGTGCGTATGTCTCAGCAAACGATGAACGATGCTTGGAGACAATAGTGCCGTATGTCGTGCGGGGCCTTTCAGCAGCTAGACTCGCCAGGTGGTGAGAAGGGGTCCTGGCATAATGCCTGAGGTGCATGCGCATTGTCTCGGTAATAATATGCGTATTTATCGAGTGATCTTGAGCGATGGCAATGGTTTCAGCCGTTGAAGCACTGCGGGGTATTCCAAGGCATATCTTAAGTGCTTGGGCTTGAATGCTCTGAATTGCGCGCAGGTTGGTCTTGCCGGTGTTAGACATTGCAGGTAAGCTGTACCGTAAGAATCCGATAAACAGCACCCTGTACAGTTGTAGCATGGATGATATGGGCACTCCCCAATTTTTTCCTGCAAGGAATTTGAGCATGTGGCATGTTGCGATCAGCCGCTTCTTCACATAGTTCACGTGTGGAGTCCACGACAGGTTTCTATCTATTATGACTCCCAAGAACCTGTGGCTTCTGCTGAACGATATGTATTCTTCATTAATCGATATACTGTAAGCAGACATTGGTTTCCGCGTGAACGCTACCACTGCACACTTTCCGCAGGACACCTCGAGGCCTTGTTTACGAAGATAGCATGACGCCGTTGTAGCAGCCTTCTGAAGGCGGGCGCGAAGCTGAGGCCTTGTCACACCTGATGTCCAAATGCAGATGTCATCAGCATAGACAGAAAGTTCTACAGTGCTAGGTAGCTGCTCGACTAGACCAATGAGAGTTAGGTTGAAAAGGGTAGGGCTTAGCACTCCTCCCTGAGGAACTCCTCGGCTGCTGTAATAATCAGGTGTTGGGCCATTCGCTGTCATCACGTAAAATGATCTCAGCTGTAAGTAGCTGTACACCCACATATATATCTTGCCACCAAGACCTACTGTTTCCAAAGCACTAAGGATGGCTTCATGGGTGACATTGTCGTAAGCCCCCTTAACGTCTAGAAACAGGGCGGCGCACAGTCTCTTACAGGCTTTCTGGTGTTGAACATATGTCACCAGATCAACAACGTTGTCGATTGATGAATGGCCGCGCCTGAATCCGGTCATGGATACTGGATAGATTTCGTAGTGCTCTAAATACCACTCCATTCGTGTTAGAATCATTCGTTCCATCGTTTTTTCCCACACAACTGGCAAGTGCGATAGGACGGTATGAGGCAATATCCAAAGGAGATTTACCAGCCTTTAGAAGTGGAATGAGGCGACTTGACTTCCATGCCTGGGGAACAGTACCAGTCTGCCAGGAGTCGTTGTATAGGCGTAAGAGTGCCTTCCGAGCTTCGTCTCCAAGATTACAAAGGGCACGATAGGTAATGCCGTCAGGACCGGGTGCTGAAGAACGTCTGCACAGAGCCAGTGCCGCCTCTAGCTCATCCATAGAAAACTGGCATTCCATACGGGGATCACGTGAGGGTGGTGGGTTGTCAAAAGTTCCCGTTCTTGATACTGTGAAATTGGAATCACCGGCAATTCTTCTACAGAAAGATTCTGCGACGTGTAAAAGGGTGTGCAAAAAAGAGGCAGTGTTCCACATTGGAATTGGTATATCACGTGCAAGTAGCTTGTTTGCTGATCGTGCTAAAATGAGGGTCGGTTGCGCTCCCTGTAACAGCTAGTTGAACCCTGGCTTCAGCGGTACCAACTTTGAGAACCCATGCCCTCGACGATTCGGGATACTGCGAGAGATACCGAGAGTTTTTCGTGTATACTTAAAACTTGTCGCGCCTCGCATTCTCTTGCCCCACCTAGACTACACACTTTTGGGCAAAAGTAGCTACCAAATAAGCAAAGTAGAAAAAATGAAATTTCTCCGACGAACACATATATCGCAGTTTAATCATATTTTAATGAAGAGCTGCAGATGTTCACTAGGCTTTTGGTTTGACATGCTACTTGACTGATTGGTGCTAGCATGAAAAAAATGAATGCCTGCCATGTTGGAAGAAAGTTGCAGTTGTAATCGGGCCTGCCGGCAATTAATTCCACAATTTTAATTCAGTACGCGCGCAAAAAACAAAAGCTCTAATTGCTAGGAAAATTGGTTGCGTCATGACTTCACTTGGGTACAGAAGAATTCGAAGACTGGGAGAAAACTTTGAACTCACTTTATATTCCATCGCTGTCAATGTATATTTGCGCACTACGTATACAAGTGTTTTGTCACTGTTATGGTACTGTACTACTCACCCGAAAGTGGCGGAACCGCATCACGACTACAGCGGCCGAAATTTTGATTACCGCACAAATGCTTGAGGCCCACACGCTTATATTCAGGTGTTTGTTAAAACGCCAGGTTGGCACATATTTTACACACAATTTATTGATGTCATACGAACTTGCGGAAATGAGTGTAATCCGTAAAGCTAGGCATATCTTACATAGCCTTAAAAGAATCTACTATAATTCATTTTCTGCGAGCGTAGCCTACCTCCAAACGCAATATTTAGGTACAATTTACCACTGATATCCCCCTTACCCCCCGCGGTGGTGTAGCGACTACGTTGCTCGGCTATAGAGAACCAAATGAAGTCGCGGGTTTGATCTCGGCTTTGGCGATCGCATTTCGATGAATGCGAAATGGCACAAGCCCTGGCCGTTGTGCGATATCAGCGCATTTTCAACACCAGATTGTGGAAATTTCTCGAGTCCTCTACTACACAGTCCCCCATAATCATATCGCTGATATGGGGCTCCAAGCTGCTAAATATTATTGTCTGTTTCCCTTAAAAAGTATGGACCATTTCTCCAATGGGAACACTGATGTGATGTTATGCAGCAGTGGTGCGCATGGCGTTGACCCGGTTGAAACGGGCGTCGACGCAGGTGTTTGAAAAACGCCTTGAAATGTAGCTTTTACTCGAGTAAGCTTTTGTTTGAAGCGTAAACACACAGGAGGTGGGTCAAGTTTCGTGCAAGTTTCATTGCAGATAAAATAGCCAAAAGAGTGTTTACACTCGACGTGCGGTCGAGCGTTGCGTGCGGTGGAGAGAGTGAAGCAAGAGAGAAGTGCATTACGAGAGGGCAGAGGTGTTTGCCGCTGCGGGCGCTGCGGCGAGCAGGCTGTGAGTGAGAAAGTAATGTCAGCGCTCACCAGCTATAGATGCGTGCGAGGGGACCGCGACGTTAACGCGCAGCGGCGGCATGACCTACTTGACACAGCTCGTAGACCTGCGTCGAGGGGGTTGCGTTGTGGCGCGTTCGTATTGACGTACGTACGGCGTTACACACGTGAGTCAAAGATATGTTTCACATCTAATATGTACCAGAGGAGAGTTCATGTCTTCAAGGTGTCACGCGTCGTGACGATAGATGGATGAATAAACCCAATATGTAGCAAGTCCTTTGAAACGTGCTTTATATATCACATCGCCGGCCACTCCCACGTCCGAAAGCCAAGTCTCTCTGCTGCGTCGCGGGCTCGTTTGAATGCCCATAACTCTTGTTCGAGTCCGGAGCTTGTAACAGCATTCTTCCATTTGGATGGCGTGATGACTTCACCGAAGCGTATACTGCCGGGCACCACCAAAGAATGTGTTTCAAACTAGCTGTACCAACGCATAAGGAACATGTAATAATTGTCTGTTTTTCAGGATAAATCTTGTGTAGTAGGGTGGGGTCAGGATACACTGGGATCTGAAAAAACCTGACTGTCAGAGCCTGAGGTCTGTTAAGTTTTCTGTGGGGTGAAAAAGCCGGAAATGCCTGGATAGGACAACGCGCTCGTTCTTTGTATTTTCAGGTTTTTTTTCTGCGGTGGCCCTTCAACAAACACCCGGCGGTATAAATTTCTCCAGCCCTCTGCTAAGACACGTGCCTCCTCATCACATGGTTACCTGCCCAGATAATGCACCAAAGATGAGAACGATTTAACTAGCTACGGAAATTCGGTGCCCAAATACGGTACCCTATAGCGCTTGTCTCTGTTTCCTTTCTTGTCCCCTTGTCCCTTCTGCTTTAATTGTCGAAGATGGATTACCAACTAGCCCAGGGTCATACATTGCTTTATGTATACTTTGTGATTGTCACGCCCGACGCCATCAAGACTGAATGCCTGTGACGTGAGCGGAAAAGCTGCTTCCTGGCTCTCTCCAGTTCTTTCCATCTCTCCACAAAACACTGGTCAGCGGCGAGCGCGCACTGCGGCGGTTGCCTAAAACCTTACAGCCTCTGAGATTAAGGGAACGTCTACTGCCGTTCAGAAGCCACTGCGTTCGTGCGTCTACAATGGCGTCATTTCTGAATCTAGCGAAAGTATTAGTGTCGGGAGCGAGCGCTCCCCGCGGAGAAAGCAATGAACCTCGAAGAACCTCTCACGGGCCCCCACGAGAGAGCGTATGACGTCGTAGGCATTTTTCTGAAGGAGTTGTCACGCCTCATCGTTGCTTATGAGCCCATGCACGGTTAACGAGACCCCTGTGGTTCGGGGACCGTACTGTCACAGTTACGGGGAGCGGCTAATGCACAGCGAGCGGAAAAATAAAAACGCTATACCGTAACTGCCTCACCGTATTTGCGTACCATATATCCGTCACTCGCTAAAGCTCTCTATTATTATTTCACAACACACATCACAGCGAGGTATAAAATAGGAAGACATGCCGACAATAAATAAAGTTGACCATTAAGCCGGATCGCTTTCATTCATCTCGAGGCTGCGCCCAGGGTACACTAAACTGAAGACTAGAAAGTGAATTAGTAGAAATGACGCTATACTATAATTTATGAGAACTAACAGACCATGAAGCTTAAGGACAGTATAGGGGAAAAGAGCTGTAGGTGAAAGCTGCCAGTAGCCATTTGTTACGGCCACTGTATAGGATGCTGTCGGACGCTCCCATGTTTCAACGCACATATACCCCGTCATGTGGACGGCGGGTTGGCCGCCACACTATCTGCTTTGGTAGAGCATCCGACGCATTATTCGAAGGTCGCAGGTTTGGTTCCTGCCCGCTACAAGTTATATTTTCGTCCATTTTTTTCTTTCCTCCTGTGTAAATTATGCGTACGACTAATAAGAACCCAAGTACTTTCCTTCGCAGTGTTGTCTTAATTCTCACGAATATTGTGTTTAAGAAAAAATAACAAGCCTTTAATATTGCCACTGCTGTGGCAATGAGGTTTGCAATTTTAGCTCGGCGCATATAACGTCGAGATTAAAGTATCAGCACACGAGAAGAATGTACACAAACGTGACGGTAACACGTGAACTCACCAGTCGCATCTTGGACCCGGTGAAGGCCGCCGATACAGGTCGCCTGATGAACCTCCATTGATTGCCCGCGACGAAAGACAGGGCGCGGCATATGTACTGGTTCCCACTCATGGTCGACCATACTTCCTGCGTTTGGCAGTTTAGTGTTTTTAACACGAGAGTGTTTTATGCCGGAGCACACAAAGATTTCAGTTGCGCACTTCCGTCAAGAAAATGACGTCTAAAAATAACACAGATCAAAATAAAAAACAAAGAAAAAAAAGGTGCCCTCAGCGGGAGTACAACCCATGACCTCTCGGTGGGTGGCAACTGCTGACGGGCACGCTATTCAATGTACCATGGCCTCATAGTTTGTGGACCTTGAAGAGACGCTGACGCCTTTATATCAACCTCTGCCCTCTCACAGTACTCTTGGCGAATTGCACGGTGTAAGAATATGGTTAAGTGTAATAATGCATCATGACCATGGAGCTCACAATTTTCTTCAACGCGTCTCTCTTACTTCGTACCTTCTAAATAGGAGGAGTTCGATTTCGTCATCGCCCTAACGCACTGCCAGATGGTGACCTTAGCCAAAGCATGGGCGAGGCTGATAGCATCCATCCATACTAGCAAAAGTTCTGCAATGCATAGAGCAAGGCTCTTGCTTTGCGTGGATGTAACTCGGGGTTCCTCGCTTACGCTTGCCCAGCGAATAATCGTTGCCGGCCAAGGGGGAAGGCAAGACGCGCGTTGTGTGTTCCACTAGTTGGGCATTGGCGTTCAATAACTCGAGCATGCCGCGAGTAGGCGACAGCTCATGTTTGGCGTACAGTACGTCACGGTACCCCACCGCCTTCTTTGGTTCCGCTGTCAGCGTTAACTACAAAAAAAAAACGCAGGCAATAATGACCAAAAGGGCAAGTTTATACATTATTCAATCATTTTTCATGAATGTTAGTCGTCCGGACGGAGATGTATCACTAAGCTTCAACGTGGATACACTTATAAAAAAACTGTGTTAAAATTTAGCGGTCAAACACAAACAGACATTGTAGAAGCTCTATTTCATCAATGTATAGTAAGCACTGAACAATACTCAGTGACAACATTTCTTGGAACTGAAGGGAAAACTATGAAGGCGTAGCTTCTGCACATAGAGCACTGCGCGAAGTAGTCCATTCTGGCACGCGTCTCGTAACGCTGTGGAAAAGGACGGCGGCGCACTCTCAGCGTTTCATGTAGAGACAGAGGCCGCTTAGCGCTTGAGGTGCACGTAAAAAGGCGGCATTTTCCCACGCGTTCAAAAAAATTGCCCGCAGCTTCCCTCGGTGGAACACTGAGGAGGATGCGGAGCATATAATTGGTTAACGGGGTGTTAAAGTGCGACTTACTTGGGTCGATGGCTAAATTGGTTAACGTGGTTGTGAAATGGGGTGTTAAATTGCGACTTACTTGGGTCGATGGCTAAATTGGTTAACGTGGTTGTAGGAGGGGGTGTTAAATGAGTGAACACGTACACACGTATGCGAAAGGGCGGCGCTGGTCGAAGGGACGTCGATCATTGTGTTTGTGGATTCGTTGGAATTCATTTCACCGCGACCTTGGACGTCGACGCGCCGTACAAACCAACCGACGAGCGGCAACTGAGCGAGCGAGCGCCGACCTTGAGTATATATACAGCTCGACGGCGCATGCACTGTCAGCTGTTGAATGTTCTCGAAGCGCGACGCCACATGCGCGTCCACTGGAGAATCAGGAGAATTGTAGATGTCGAACGCGGTGTGTAGAGGAGGAAGGGTGCACAGATGGTGGAGGAGTGAAGCACGCGTGGTGTGTAGAGGAGGAAGGGATGCACAGATGGTGGAAGAGTGGGCGACGGCGCGACGGCGCATGCGCGCGCGTCAGCTGTCGAATGTTCGAGAAGCGGTGCGGACGGCGCGGACGGCGCACTACAAGGCGCGAGTATAAGATGCTCCGCATCTAAAACGCGTACTCACAACAGATAAATTAAAAGAAATCGTAATATCTTACTGATGTGAGCTGCGTCCTGTCTCAAATCACTTTACGTAGAAAATAAAAAAATAAGGAAACGTGTGAATTTCACGTTGAAAATGCAGGCGCTACATTAGAGCTACATTCAGTGGCGGTAGGATGCACGCGAATTGGCTCCGTAGCTTTCGCTTCAGTGTCAAGAAAAGTTTTCTCCGAGTGTACTTCTGCTTAGAGGTGTTTTTCTTTCGTGTTATACCAATTCTTATTACTGAGGAGTGAACCGTATGTTTTTTACGCGATGTTTTGAGGATTCTGGCGTTTTCGTGAAGGAACGGCTACTCTTTTTCACGGATGCAAAAAGTATAGCCGCGAGAAACTTCATAAAAGATAAAGACACTTCGGCAGAGTTTATATTAGTCCGTTCGTTTAAGTAACACCAGGGGCAACACGATATAGAGTATCGTCACGTAACACAATTATTCTCATGAGGTGGAGTTGCACGTACGCTATATATACGCTATAAAACAACACGCCACAACGCCTGTCACAAAGCAGCACTCTGATAGGGAAATACAGTCGTAGGAACGCAGAACGAGCTCTTACGTCAAAGGGGCTGAGCGAAACTCCTTGAGCATGGTCAGAAGAAAAGAATCGACCTATTTCAAAATTTGATTTCATTGGAAGAAATACATGTATATAACTTGATTCTGCTGGCACGCGGAACAAAAAAAAAAGGTCTCACGGAGATTTGATTAGCTGGATTCAGATTTAAGAGTACCAGCCGTTACACCATGAGACCAGATTATTCCGACGCCGGGATTCGAACCCGGGTCTCCTGGGTGAAAGCCAGGTATCCTAACCACTGGACTACGCCGGATACGAAATGCTATGGCACATATCAGATAGAAATGACGTCTTTATACTCTTGAAGAACAATATATGTCACACTGCCCCACATTTAGGAAGAATATGAAACAAGGAGATAGCAACGAAAAAAATAATTTCGCCTGTAGCGGCACATTAACTCGGAACAAAACAGGGCTTTCGAAGAGGAGGAAGAAGACAGACACAACTGCGATGCTACTATTATTATTATTATTATTATTATTATTATTATTATTATTATTATTATTATTATTATTATTATTATTATACTCGGCATCAAGTATCACACATGGAGAGACCGAACGAGGACGGTTCGCACTGTCGATGATGAAGCCGTTTATCGGGAATCACGGTGCACTGCCAAGCCAGACTGCTGGACCCAACTCTAGATCACTTGACGTCGTAGTTCCGCCGAAACGGCGAAAGGCAGCTGGGCTAGAACAATCGGTATCAGTTGACACCACTTGGTGTGGCCAGGGCCAGCTAGAAATCGATGGGCTCCGCCTGTCCGCGCGGTAACGGAAAAGCTAGTGGCTAAACCAAACATTTCCCCGAGGGTGAACATGGTTAAGTGCGAATACACGGTGTAATGCTATGAGGGGGAGTAAAGTTAAAATCCATTGGCATTCGCCAGTGAGTTAACGTAAACTCCCCCGTGTGATCACATTGCGATTGCCAGGAACCATTAGACCCTCTCGGGAAATCTTGGCGAGTTTACGCGTATATGTGAGAGTAAATTCGCACTGTAATGATGTTTATGTCCGCGGCCCGCTTCACCCGTTTGCGCTGGGCATCACGGGCCCTTCGCCGCGCTGCCTTGTCTTCAACCGGCGCGACATCTTCAACGTCGCATGCAATGCTCGCATTCGATTGCGTTGTAATCATTGTTGGAGGTATCGCAGTCGAGGTTGATGCCTGCAATGGATTCATACCTAAGATGACTTGCTGATCTCGAGCAAGTCGTGGCGGCGCGCGCAGCCACAGAGTGGAGGGCGGAGCGCGCGCAATCACGTGGTGTGTGACGTCACTGCGCCGCTGCTACAGATGCTCCTCTCTGCTCCTCGCGCCGTTGCTAGGGGAGAGGAAGATGTGCACCGCGGATGGCAGATTCAGGGTCGCTTATAAAGTGCATTTGCACTTAAAAAAGCAGCTGGTTGGTAGTCGAGGCTACCGAGAACACGCGAGCCAAATATTATAGCGCCACACGTGGCACAGAAATCGCAATATATCCTAAAGTCAGCTAAAAATTGCTTTCTGTTCTTTCGACAAATGATGACACAAGCTAAAGAAATCACCCGCATCCCGCACTGTATCAGCCATTACCTCATCTGGGCATGGCGCTTTGTCATTAATGGGCCCGCAGCGGGGAGGTCGCGACATGTTCTTGCATGCTCGCGCTGTCACTGAAAATGAAAAAGCCGCGTATTAAAAAAAAAAGAAAAAAGTGCTCCAGATCACGCCAAGCGAGACGCATTTTCTTTCCTCAAGCAATGGTTCCCTGCTTTGCTTCTTACTCTTTCGTCGGAATGACGGAAAAGAGAAGCAAATCGCAGCATGTGACAAATTTTTTTAGATGCGGAAGCATCTTATACTCGCGCCTTGTAGTGCGCCGTCCGCGCCGTCCGCACCGCTTCTCGAACATTCGACAGCTGACGCGCGCGCATGCGCCGTCGCGCCGTCGCCCACTCTTCCACCATCTGTGCATCCCTTCCTCCTCTACACACCGCGCGCGCTTCACTCCTCCACCATCTGTGCACCCTTCCTCCTCTACACACCGCGTTCGACATCTACAATTCTCCTGATTCTCCAGTGGACGCGCATGTGGCGTCGCGCTTCGAGAACATTCAACAGCTGACAGTGCATGCGCCGTCGTGCTGTATATATACTCAAGGTCGGCGCTCGCTCGCTCAGTTGCCGCTCGTCGGTTGGTTTGTACGGCGCGTCGACGTCCAAGGTCGCGGTGAAATGAATTCCAACGAATCCACAAACACAATGATCGACGTCCCTTCGACCAGCGCCGCCCTTTCGCATACGTGTGTACGTGTTCACTCATTTAACACCCCCTCCTACAACCACGTTAACCAATTTAGCCATCGACCCAAGTAAGTCGCAATTTAACACCCCATTTCACAACCACGTTAACCAATTTAGCCATCGACTCAAGTAAGTCGCACTTTAACACCCCGTTAACCAATTATATGGTCCGCATCCTCCTCAGTGTTCCCCCGAGGGAAGCTGCGGGCAATTTTTTTGTAGCACCACTAAAC